ATGATTTTCTTCACTTACTTGTTTCATGTGATTTTGACAAGACACTGATGTTTTAAGAACAAATTATATGCTTATCACTGCATAGGATTAAGCGTTTAACCCCACACAGATACACCCTATTGATAAGAACGAAATTTTAATGTTCTCACGTACAAGTAATACCTTAATCTACTTATGATAAGGGCCACTCTCTTGGACCTCTTGTCCCACCGTAATACTTGGCACACGTGGTAACTTGGCACGCAGGGGATCACTCACTTTTATTGAAAGCTTTATCATTGGATAATGTATCCCAAGAGTTTTCATTGGCTTAGCCATCTTGGTATATGAGCCATTTTTATCATGCTCTAAAAATATGGTAAGCGTGCATGTAATTTTTTGGAACATTTCATTTTATTTTCTCTAGTTTGGGGACGTTTTCAATAAAACAGTTAGGCGCTAGCTCGCGTTTGTTGGATATGAAACGGTTATAGCCAACCCATATTCAACGCGTGTTCATGGAATGATTTTTTTTTAGAATCAGTTGTTTTGTGTAGAATATTTCACAATATCCTACACAATTACGTGCTTTATTTATCTAAAACGCAGCAAAGCTCAAGCTTGCCAGGTAGTCATGCAGGTGTTGCGCAAAACTGTTGCGCAAATGTTAAATTACATTTGAAAAAATCTTCTAATCCCGCAATGCCCAAGACTGATTTCTCCTCAGATTAGACATAAAATCATGAAAGAGGTTGGTGGGATCTAAGGTAGTGGTCGCGATAAAAATCAAGAAAATCACGACTTAAGAGATTGAGAAAATCTCCCAACTATTACAAGAAAAAATGTGTGAGTCTCAGTAAGGAGATTTTTTAAGTTGAGACAGAGGCTTTTAAATCAAAGTTTATTTAAACGGAAGACGTATTGCCAGACTGTCAAAGCATCGCGTGAGAATCTCAATTGATCTTCTACGTGCGACCTCGCGCATAAGCTGAAATTTTAACATCGCTTGATAACCCCGAAGGTTACAGCACTTTTCAGTACTTGATTAATCCTTTAATCTCCAGCAATAGAGAATAATAACTACTAATAACTTTTTGCCTTGTCATGCCAAATGTGAACAATCAAATAAGTAAGTCATAAGTAAGTATTTTTAGCTGAGTGACCCTAAAGTTCAGTCCTCGAAGCTTTTGAAACTTGGCCTCCGAAGGAAAATGCGAGGTTATTGCTTAATAAATGAACAAAATGACAGTCGCTGTGACGAGGCCTTACATGCCATACAGGCAGTACAAAGGATGCGAAATACGAAACTACAACGTACGAAACATCACTGTATGCGATGAAAAAAAAAGTAGGGCTGGAAATAGAAGCTTACCTTAGAATAAGCAAAAGAACAGTGAGCTGGTTTGCAAAGGAGCTTGCAAAGAAATATCGACTAAAAGAGACCATATAATTGCTAAAAGATTCAACATTTCTCCAGAATGTACTTTTAGATTTCTCAACCAACATCCTGACACAGAATCAAGGAACGTAAATGCACTGACATTCTTGTAATACTGTCAGTGCTTGCTTCCTCAAAATACTAGCCAGCGTTCGATCTACCTTGCAGGATTGTAGCCACTATGAGGCAAACCGAGACACTTGCTTCAGTCATTTTTTCGTTTCTGTATAGTTTCTGTTTTTTAAAGGGGGACAGTAAAAAAACTGCTTAATACCATAGTTAATAACTATTTAAATACCTAGGAAGAGAATTTAAACATGGAAATTGCCTCAGTCATAATTTCTTTCTAGCTACGGTCCTGCCTTGCTCTACAGGATCGTTTTATTCAAGCTCAGTCATATATTTGGTGCCAATTGGCAAGATGAAGTGAACATTAGGAAACTGCCAACGTTCGATAACCAGACAAGACATTGGGGTCCCTACTAAAAAATCAGTTAAGGTTAGGATTGAAAACAGAACATATGCAGTAAGTTTAAAGTCACGGTATTTTGAGTCATTGGTCCTGCACAGAATTACCTTTAAATTGAAGGAAACCTGATAGTAGTTTACTAAGATGGAAAAACATCTGAGATAATAACAAACCATAAAGGAACAAGGATGGTTAAGGATGGAGAAGATTAACACGGATTACAAACGACGAACTTGAAAAATTTAGGCTAAACTTTTCAAGATGCGCAAACCGTGTCGTAGCTCCTTTAAGTGTAGTATTTCGAGAGGCACCTGTTATCACGTATTAGCCCTCGAATGGACAAACAACAAACAGGGTTGTAAATGTTGAGCTACCGAAGTGAAAATATCGATCGCTTATGCACCAGGTAGGGCTAGCGATCGATGACGTGAAAATATTTTTTGTCGAGGTTATGAGACATAAAACAGATACAATCCTGCTACTTTGATCACGCAGTTCAAGTGATTGTTCTCTCAGAGATCATATCAGTCGATTGGCATTTCAGTACAGAATGAATCCATATAAGCTCTTTCAATAGGCATTTTATCGTATACATTATCAATATATATCCGGCTTCTTCTTACTTGCCGAGAATTCAGACCAGAAAAAATTGAAAATTCTATGAAAAAAGCCTGCATCGCTATTTAAATTCAGTGAAGGCCACTCAATTCTATAGAACTGTGGGTATCATATGCCAGCTTTAAAATTTAACAGCCGTGATATAAGCTAATGCGTTATTTCTTGCAACTATTTTAAATTGCAGGTGTAATTTGCCCCCAAAAAAGTTTTGTGGATGAAATGGGTCCTCCACATTGGGTTTATTGTGAGAATGTTTTGAAAAATTTAAGGGTATATGTACACATCGCTTAAATTTCAGGTTTGCACAAAACTGAAATAAAATAATATTATTATTTCTGGGTGCTTGCCGGCTGCTCGGTCTTTGAGAGATTGATGCGTGCCATTTTCCATTTCTTCCCCCATATCTCACGTTCTAAGTGTTTTTCTGTCGTTTAATAATTCTGACTTCTTATCTCGATAAATGTATCACTAACTATAGGTCAAAACGTGCATGGGATATTTTACCGCTTAATGGATAGCGTTATAATATATTATAATAGCTTTTTTACTCATGAAGAGCCCTATCTGTAATACATGATAAGCAACACAAGAAAAACAGACACTGTTTTGTCCGCGTCACGTTCTGGTTATTTTCAGTTCTGTTTGATTTTATTTCTAATCGCTATATTTTCACGCCAGATAAATTGGTGCGTGTCTCAATCTATTAAAACAAAAAACAACTTTTCAACTTGTAAATGGTACATTTGGTGGTGCCATTGAAATAATTGATTCCCTTCGTACTTCAATCCGTCAGAGAAAGACCGTGCTCTTAGTAAGACGAAATGCCTGTCTGTTCGATTCTTCATTGTACCAAGTGCATTAATTATCCATAAATTATGCACAGTCAGTTCTCATTTAAGTCAACTTTACTTTTTTGGTGTGATTCAAAGAAACCAGCAGGTGATATTTGCTTTCTTTTGTAAGACCCGACTTCGCCCAAGTATTGACGCTTTGAATCGAATTTTGTGATCAAGGTTGGTGTTTAAATGGGAATACTTGTCACATTTTCAAAAGCGCTTTATATTTTTATCTTCGAAGACAGTTATATGTAAATTGAGGTTCAATTCCTCTCTCTTTTTTTTTTCGGTCTCGTCATATTTGTTAACTCTATTTATTGTTTGTTTTAGACTTTGCAGACGGATCTTCAGAGTTGACAACAATGGCTAAAAACTCTTCGTTACGAAACAGCTCTTTTTTGGACAACAATTCAACTGGATTTCCATCTCCAAACGACACAGGAGAAGGTAAGAATCATGTTTAACATCAATAACGTTGCGACCAAGACAGCTCTGAGAAAAAGAAAACTCAGCCTGGCAGAAATTCATATATTCCCACGACATCATTATTTTAAATGGGTACTGTTTACACAGTCAATGTAGTCTGTACTCTCTGTCTGTAAAGGTACAAAAAAAAACCTTGAAAGAAAAGAGATTAAGCATAAAATTTAAGTTTGAAATGGAAGTCCCAGCCTGATATAATTAGCGAGCAATGCAAGTACGGGTCATTGGTGCCAAAATCTGGCCGCATTAACAAAAATGTATATGATTACTCAGCTTTTTTCCAAGCCCAAAAGCTAGAATTTCCATGTTGGCGTAATGCCCGCAAAAACGAGATAGTTCAGTATTATATAGAGGATATCTTGGGGTGGGATTTTGAGCGCACCTGTTTATGTACATGTTCAACTGACATTCAGTGTTCGATGCTGAAGTCAATTTATGGATTTTATGGTCTAGATATATAAAAACGTTCAGTCAAAGATGAAAATGTTTCATTGGCCTTTTCTCGAGCCGTATCTAGGTCAGTAGTCTTCTTTATCGCCTTTCCTGCTCCAGCGCGATCTAGCTAAACTGTTTATTTTTTTTATAAGAATATCGAGGATGATATTTGCAAACTTTTTAGAAATATTTTAAGAATAAATTTTGTATGTTGAAAATTTGTAAATACAATACAACTATATCTTTTTAACTAAACCGTATAAAATCCTTTGTTTCTCTGAAACGGCAAAACTAGTCAAAAAGCAAGAAAAATAGCACTAGCCATATGTTCCATGCTAATATCATTTCTGCAAGACGTTGTGTCGGTCATGTCAGGTTCTAATACCTGCAGGTTGGCTCCAAAATTACTTTAACACCATTCAAACACCAACTACATTCGAAAACAGAAATGTTATACGCTATGATCTAAGAATATTCACGAGAATATATTCAGCCTCAGCAAAATCGGCAGAAAAATAAGAATCTTCAGTCTTTGCCAATTTTGTGCTACGAAATTATCTGGTTTGTCTTCATTTGTGATAGTATATATTAGTTCATGGAGATCGTTTATGTGTGGCTGGTGTTCAGTGTGAAGATATATATAAAAAAGAATGTATAGCGTGTCGGTGTGAAAAGATCAGGGACGGTTTTCCTTAGGTTAGCATGACCATAATGAATTCAACGGGACTTTCTACTCTGAGAGAACAGGCTCGAATAAACAAGCATGATTTTGGCAAGTGAATTGCGCTGAGTTTATTTTGCACTGTTCGGTTGGACAATAAATATAAAGAGAAGAAAATATTTTACTGCCACGGTTTTTTGGGTTTCACCTGCCGACTGACAACCTCTCTGAGGGGGGCGTAAGGGTTTGCGGTGATGCGGTTTTGCGTTATGTTTGGTGCGGTTTTGCGGAAATCTTTATTTTAACCTGCGGTATTGCGGTTTAATAACACTAAGCGGTTTGCGGTTTTCATAAATTTTCGATCGCGGTAATCGGTAAAGTCGTCTGCGCTTTCCAGTTATGACAGTTATTACTCGGATCCTGATGCTTCCGATGACTTTTGATCTCTTGTTTATGTTTTGCAAGGAACCATTGTTGTGCAAGCAAGCTTTGCTGTTTGTAATTTCCGCTTTTTCCAGACAATAATTGGTATGATTAACCATTTTATCCAA